GCTGAAATCAGTGGGATTAGATATGCAGTTAATGCTTGCAAGTTGTTGAATACACAGTATTCTAGTTTTATGTGGGAACACTGGATTTCATAGTTTTGCTGTCTCCTAGTCTTAAAATTTCATGAGAACATTTATTAAATATGCAGTTTTTATATGCAGAACAGAGGATAACATATTTCAAGACTTACGATTGATTCAATGTCATGTAGGATCAGAAATAAAGCTGAGGGAGGATGCTCTTAACTGGCAGTGCAGTTCGATTTTGGGGATTAGAATCTGGTACCAGCAGAGAGTTTGCCTGAACCATCTGGGAATTTTCTTTTGTCTTCCACCTCTGAACTTATAATTCTTTATAAAATGAAGATTTCTGCACCTTGCATTGCTTCACAATCATATTTTTTCTCGTTTAATGAGAGTCCAAATAGTATTAATGGGAATTGCTTTATCAACATTATTCCTTAGAGTTTATAATTTGAATATAGAATATTGGGTTGGGTTTAAGACAGTGCGTGATTCTTCTTTCTTCTACTTTCATTATTTATTACTCAGTCTTTCACACCATGTTGTTAAATGGAGTCACAAAGATCACAGCGGAGAAGGAAGAAAAGGGAGGCATAAATACTAGATCAAACATGGAACTCTTGATAGTATTCAGTTTTCATTTCTGTATATGTAGATTTCTGCAGCACCTCGTTTTACCTTACATCCTTGTATTTTAGTTCTTATAAATACGGAGTATATTGTTATAAAAGAATTAATTCTTCCAAAGATATAATTGTCATTCAAGTTCTTCTCTTTAGTAGATTTTCAGTTGTATGTACATGATACAACATATATTTACAAAACAAACTGAAAGATACAACTGATTCTTTTTTTCTAGGTCTTTCTATTCTATTGCTGTCATTGTATTGCTGCAAAAGGAACATCAGTTATAAACTAGATATAAATATAAGAACATATAGTGCAATAAAGAAATGCAATCAAGAATGCAGTTTAAAACAACTGAGAAAAAAATTCTCAAGCCTCTTGTTTTAAAAACTACATTAGGTACTGAATCACAGTTTGCTTTTTCTATACATCAGCAATTTAAATATCTGCATATGGTAACCTTCATTTTGAACTGCTACCTTCTGAATAGATAACAAAAATTAAGATCAGTTTTAAGGGAGTTGATGAGAGAATCCAGACTGTAAGAAAAACGGCTGTACAGTAAAAACTAGTTAAAAATTGTATGCAGAGAGTTGGAAATCTTAATTTGCAGTTTCTAAAGTTTTAGCTGTAGGAAAATTATAATCTACTGTTAGTAATTAGTAATTACATTCTACAACAAATTTGAGTCAATTTGAAGAGACTCTTGTCTAATGGTCAAATTTCCTGCTTGAGCATCCTTCATAATATCATCAGCACAAGCTGGGACAGAAATCTTACAGGTATGGAAGCTGCATTTGGTGAGCCAGATAGGCCTTACATCCTCAGCTGAGCCGTCAGGACTTGTGATACATTTTCTTCACTGTGAGAACTACTTGTTTCATGTCTTCCAAAAACATCAGCTTGTGAAATTAGAATCCTTATTGTGAAAATTGTTGCATCTCTTCAGCTGTCAAATTATGGTCTTAAAAATGAAAAAGTATTTCTATGTTTCCAAATTTTAGAGTGAATAGTTTTACGAGCTATCTAATGAAATATGGGGGGTTTAAAACTGTCTTTTGCTGAGACAAATTGCTGCTTATTCACTTGTTTAAACAACTAGTTAAACATGTTTACTGTCAATGCTATCTTCAGAAACTTGTGAAAATGAAATATCTTACTGCACTTCTCTGTCTCTTAGGTTTGATTCAGATACAACAGAGCTCCATAGCTGGATGACCCGCTCAGAAGCAGTGCTTCAGAGTCCTGAGTTTGCAATATATCGAAAGGAAGGCAATCTCTCAGATCTCAGAGAAAGAGTCAATGTAGGAGAAAGTACTCATATATATGTCTGTTAGTTTGTATTAGCTTGTCAAAGTGCTTTCAAAGTCCAAGTTTAAATAAGTTCAAATGTAGGCTGACAAGCATTGATTGTCCATATGTACAAGAGAAATTTAGAAGTGCTCGCTATTTCTATAAATTTCAGATTTTGGCACCAAAATTGCTACACAGGCTGTCTGAGTACAAATATCTTTTTTTTTTTTTTTTTTTTTTTTTTTTTTTTTTTTTTTGTTCTTACATATTCATATTTAATTAAGGTATTCTAGATCCATGAGTCTTTGGTAAAGTTGAATCAAAGCCTATATATTACTACTTAAATACGCACCATCATTCTATACTAAGAGCTTAATTTGACATTATACATGCATAAATTGAAGGATGTGAAAAGTGTCATCTTTTAGTGAATGCTAAAGAAAATCTATATCTAATTCTTTTTTACAGTGCTGTAAAATATATATGAAAATCACCAGTCTCCACATATTTTTTTTAACTCTATTGTAGTATCTGAACCAAAAACAGTTCTTTTCTACTTTTGGCAAAATGAATGATTCTGCACTGCTTAAGGAGTAGCCGTGTTTGTGTATATTTTTCACACACTCTGAATTTAGCCCTTGAAAACTAAACTATTACGAATTTTCTTCCATATTTAATTTTTGTAGATAGACGCAAAAATGCCTGTCTTTTCTGAGTAAGAGAAAGGCAAGTTCTTTTTATAAGTAGCTCCTATAGTATCATGGTATATCATGAAACTTCATTAAAATATATGGTGATACATACTCCTAGAACACAAACAGATGGAACAAAGTTACTGTAATGAAATTAGTTTTGCTGCTGTTTTTTCTCGCTGTCTGCTTGTCCATCATAAGCCAGCTATGATAAGATTGAGGAACTCTGAATTTCGTGACTGTAAATATATATTTTAAAGTTTCATGTTAAATCATATTTTTATTGCAATAATTTTAATTTAATTATTAATGTTGTCATAATCTTACTGCTAGTAAGTATCCATTAGACTAATATCCTGAATTTAGTTCATGGCACCACTTAATGTTACGTGAAATATACATAAATATATATATATAAACAATATGCAAAATGGATCAAATATATAGAGAAGATTTGACGGGTTCAAATGCTTCCAAACTGGGGTGATAGGATTCATCTAATACATAAATAGATACACAGTTAATTTTCTGAGTGCTTCCATCTTCATTGTAGATAAAATTAAAAAAAGAAACAAAGAGGAATAATAAAAAGAAGAAAGTGTTTCTGTCTCCTCTTCATATATTCCCATTTTGAGGAACATAACAATTTCAAGGATGGCAAATTAGCTCATCTTGACCTACATATTAGGCTGGATACCTGTACTGTCAGGTTTCCCTAATCAATATGATGCTCCACTTTATCTTGTCAGTTTCTAAGGGTTTATAAAAGCATTAAAGTATTCAGGAGCCATGGTTCACCTTCCTCCTCCTTTCTTTTCTTTTCTTCCAAGGAGGTGGTGATCACTGCAAGTAAAGGTGTGGAGGTAGGTGAACCACAGACCCTCCTCTGGTCCCAGCTGGCATTCCCAGCAGCTCATGCCTTGCCTTTGTTGGTGCTGAGCAAGAACATTGGGGCTGGGAGGCCACTACCTACCACACTTGTTCAGATCTCATTTAGGTTGGTGAGGAAGGAGGGAGGGAGGGAAAAGAGGTGTGGAATTTGACCAGTGCATGGGCATTGTAAGTTTGAATTCAAGACACTGCAGGAGATATTTCAGATGTTTCTTTGACCTCCTTGGAAGCTGAATAACTGGATGGTTAAGAAACCAATTTCCAGCTTCTTTACTGAAAAGTAGCGCAGAAAAAGGCTCTGCTTTGTATCAGGAGGGGTCTGAGACAAACCAGTAACTCTAAATAGAAATAAGAGAAAGGAACACATATCCTTCATTACGATTGAAAATATTTTTAAAGACCAGGACTGGTTTTAATTTCATGGAGTATCACTGCTTTTAAAATGATCATTTTTATTGATAAAATCAAGTTACATGTAGAAGTTTCTAGATGTTTTAGAGGAGAAAACATTCTGATTACATGTATTAATTTGATAGAGAGAACTCTGAAAGATGGCACTTGACAAGTACTACATGGATTCTGTGTTGAACGGTTTTCAGTTAATGGAAGTCTTTGCACATGCTTTTCAAAAAAAGCAAAAAACCCCAGGTTTTTAAAATGCCAGGTTTTAAAGCTTGTCCTGACCTGACTTTTCCTGGTCTAGTCTCTGTCTCCATCCATAAAACTAGGAGCCAAAGCAGGAATTACTGTCCAGTTCATTGATCTGAGCAGTTTCATTGTTGCTTGTTAACACTCTTTGTTTCTAATTCCCTCAAAATGAGCTTCAGATCAATGGAAAATAAGATAGTGTGCATTTTAATATGTTATAATCTCTAGTAAAGTTGTAGAAGATGTATAAAAAAGATGAAATGCCAAAAAGGAAAACATGTTAGTGATAATTGAAAAAAATTGTATTGTGCTGACGTACATAGTCATACCCCAGTGTTGTACTTACACATGCATGTACATGTGACCATGTACACATGTATGCAGAAGTCCCATCTTGCCCTTACTGGCTATCATTTAGTTTTCTCTCTCTATGACAATATGTATATTGGTGTAGCACAGAACACCTGTGCTAGTCTGATGTCAGACCTACCATTTGTTGTCCCCTATGGTAGGTGCTGACTCCTAGGGCCTTTTCCTAATGACTTTCTTTTCTGCTGTTCTTTTGGGGACAGGTTATTAGTTGGATGATTCTTTTTCTTGTTGTGGCAGCTTGCTCCTACTCATCATTTTTATTGGATGAGGGGTCACTTCCATTTGATATAGTGAATATATCTGCTATATGGTGGAGGGACGCAGACTTCAGAAACAACAGCTACAAGGAAAGCTCTTTTGCCATCATTGATGATTCATCAAGTTCAAAAGCCTGCTCCCATCCCAGCTCAGAGGAGATCTGGGGGAGACAGAGCCAAGAGCAGGCTGTATGAAATGCACTGGCTGTGTTTGGTAAGCCAGTTGCTCTTCAGATACTGGCAGGAAATTAGCCTTTGGCAGATGTATTACATGGATTTAATATATTAGACATGCACAAAGAGTCCATTCCTATGTCTGGGGAGAAGCAAAAATATTTGTAGTCCTTCCCTGCTACAAAAGAAAGATACTTGCCTTACCTGGCCAGAGAGACTGTATGCCATAAGTATAGAAGTTCCATTCTGGAACAGCCACACTACTCCTAAATAATGAAGACGTCCAAACATTAATGCTGTGAACATCGTTACGCTGCATCACACTGTTAACATTCTCCAGTTAGTACATATATTTTATTGAAAACAGACCTAACTGACTCAGGCCTTTTTTGTTTTTCTTAAGCCATAATGAGCTTTCAATATTGCAAGTTCAAATATATGAAGGTTCAGGTGCAAAAAATTAAAACTTGGTAGATAGAAAATCCTGATTAATAATAAGTCAGATTTGAGACTATACATCAATAAACTGGGAATAAAACTCCTTGAAAGGAGTTTTGGTTAGAAGAGGAAACACCAAGAAATTCAGAGTCAAAGGTAATCATATAAGGAACAGATGTAAGGGAAAATGTCAGATACCCTAGACAATTAAATTTGTTCTCTCGGCATT